AGCCCCGCCGCCCCCGCCCCCCCCCCCCCCCCTCCGCCTCCTCCCCCCGCCGCCGCCGTCGCCGCCGAACATCCCTCACACGGCCCGGACACGCCCCCACGCCCCCACCCGGGCTCTCACAGGCCGCCGCCGCCGAAGCCCCGCCCCCTCGCTAGGTGCGTCACGGGCAGCGTGGGCTTGGATTGGTCGATGAGACGTCCCTCTGTAGATTTCCACGAGTGGAACGGTCGGCGGTGCCAGCCCGCACGCGGATATGCAAATGACACCCTCATCCCTCACACGGCCCGGACACGCCCCCACGCCCCCACCCGGGCTCTCACAGGCCGCCGCCGCCGAAGCCCCGCCCCCTCGCTAGGTGCGTCACGGGCAGCGTGGGCTTGGATTGGTCGATGAGACGTCCCTCTGTAGATTTCCACGAGTGGAACGGTCGGCGGTGCCAGCCCGCACGCGGATATGCAAATGACACCCTCCTCCTTCAGGGGAGAGCTCTGGTTGGTGGAGAGCGGCCGCGACCACACAGCTGGGGGGGGTGTGGGGGCGCGGTCGGGTTAGAGTCGGCGGGTTCAGTGGGCAACCCCCCCCACCCCCCGCCCCGAAGTGGGGGAGCCCCCGCGCGGCGGTGCGAGGGGAAGGGGCTTCCCTCAGAGCGCCCCTGACGGCCCCGCCCGTGGCGTTGCCGGTCCCGGGGCTCCGTGGCACCGGTCACCACCACTAGCGGAGGCCGTGGGGGCGCTGAGGTGACTCCGGTGGGAGAGGGCACCTGTCCCTCGCCGCCCTGCTGGCGGGCAGCGCCCTTCCGCGGCCCCTGCCCCGCCCTGCCCGTGGCCGAGGTGATGCTGGCGGCCCTCAGGGAGGCCTCGCTCGGGCCGCCCTGCTGGAGCCCTGCGCTGCCGGCCGAGCCAGTCCCGGTGCCCGCGGCCTCGAGAGGCGACGGGAGGGATCGTGGATGGGCTTTCCTCCATGTTTGTTTCCTTCCTCAGGGGGAGACCTGCAGCCCGAGGCGCAGAGCGGAGCGTCAGCTTCTAGCTGACGGTGCGGGAGCTGGAGGTTTGGTGGAAGCAGTGGCTCAAGGACCCCACCCTGCACTGAAACAAAAAGGGAACGAGGCTTGAGTCGATGGTATTGCGGGCCTCTCTCCGTTTCCTATGGCCAACGCGCCCAGCGTGGGGCTGGCCGCTGCGGACCCCCGAGTACTGGCCTTAGCTGCTCAGGTCACTGAGAGCAGAGAACAGGACATCCCCTTGCTACTTCTGAAGTTAAAGGGTAATTAATACCGTTTCTAAAATAAAAGGGTGAGGTAGTGAAGTGTGGACAGTCCTTCCTTCTGCCTCCTTAAATACAGAATTTTTTTCGGAATATTTCTGGCAGGGCTGGAAACTCTGTAAGGTTGATAATACAGCTTTTGCTGAGAGTGGTACTGAGTGGTGTTTGGCTTGGCGACAATAAGGAGGAGGAGCTGGGGAGCAAATGGAGAGGAAGTCTTTTCTCCGTCTCAGCTGTCACCGTGTTTGTAAGCCCCTGCTGATGCGGGCAAGGATCTTGCACTTGGTGAAATGATTTCTCCCAGTGCTTTTGGGTAGAGAGCCGGAGTGGTCGTCAGTATTCAATTTTTAAGTCTTAACATAGAAACGCGGTCGCGAGCTCCTGTGTGACTCCCCCTGTCTTTCCTTTTGCCACATAGCCACTGCTCATAGAAACAGTAGAAACAAGTTAGGTCCTGTTCTAAATTGGGATGTAATTATAAGGAAGCTATATGTTTCACAGTGGTTGTGGTTTTATCTGGCCTAGGAAATTCATACAAATGGGCTATATCCCAGGTGGTGTATGTTTTACTACTAAATGTGTAATGAGAAAATGGAAACCTAAGTTTAGCTATCCTTCCCAATTGTCATGTAATCTAAGAAATGGGTTGTAGCTGTAGGAGTGAAAAATGCTGAGAAAATATTTTATGCTGTTGTTAGCACTTTTAGAATTACCTTAATCCTGGCTCTGTGTACACATATTCCTCTTATGTTCTGGAAAAAGAAAAAAAATGTTGCACATCACAATCTTATGCTCCTCTTTGTCTCTCTCCTGCTTTCTTCCCACAGGAATTTTAAATAGTGCTTCCTTGGGGTGTGAAGAGTCAAAAAAAATTAAGCAAGATATATACGATTATGATCTTACTCAGTACTGCATGCTGGTCCTTAGACAAGACCATTCTCGACTGTGTGGAGGCTGGGCTACTGCTGCACAGCTAGCAGAGATACTAAGGTAAAAAAAAATTGCTAAGAAGTTTTCTTCTTGTTTTCTTACTGGCTTTTCATCTTGCTCTTTTTCTTTTCAAGCTGTAATACTTTGGCTCCCATCCAGAACAAGGCTTGTTGTTCAGGAAAGGCCAGGGTTAAAGTGCAGGGAGCAGTCAAGAGCAGAGGGGTCAGGCATAGCCTAATTGGTCCTGTTTAATTCATTCGCATTGTGTTTCATAGAGCTGGGTAAACTGTTTGGTGGGAACAGTTTTTGTGTTGGCTTTACCTTTTTTTTGTGAACAGTACTCGTCAGTGTCACAGTTCTTACCCAGTAATTGCTAATTTTGAATTGCAGTTATTTTTAAAAGTTTGTTTACTTACATTTCGTCTTGCAAAAATCTTCAGCCTGATTGACTCACAGCTTGGCTTGAATCTGTTTAAATATCTATTTAATATACCTATTTTAAATATCTTTTTACATTTTAAACATAATAGAGCACACAGTTCATATGGACTAGGTAGCTTGATGTAGTGATATTGTGAGATTGGCATAATGAAGTTTAATGCATAGCTAGTAAATAAGACAACTTTAAACTCAAATCCCTAGTGATCCAATCTCAATCTTTGATGCCAGGAAAAATAATAAGTTTTAAATTTTCTGCAAGTTGTACTTGATTTTGGCTTAACTAGGGAACAAAATTCTAAGGCATGAAGCAATTAGGCAACCATCTCTTATTTATGTCATATCTGCAGTGTAGTATGAATTTTTAATGCCAGGAATTTCACTAAGAGATGCAAGATTTATCACCAGAGTTGTGTGATACTTAATCATCCGCTATAAGCTATTTCAGTTTGCAGAGAAAACTGAAATTTATTTTAGCTATAAAAATGTCCTTTTGTAACTAGATGAATCTCAGCTTCATGCCTAGAATTTGCTTTCCAAGGGCTTTGGTAAGCAAAGCTTTACGTGTGTGCATTCACAAAAGGCTAACAAAGCCTAGATAAGGTATCAGAAAGCAAAATTCATAAAAAGTTAGGAAGACTCTTTTGTTGCACTAGTATCAGTGCAGAGTAAAGAATTGAAAAACTTCCCAGTCATAAAACGTGCAGTTTCTTGTAAAAAGTCTTCCAGAAATGACCGACATGTTTGCGGTGAGTAAAATAAGAAAACTGAGATCTGGAGAACTGGTTTCTAGCCCACATGTATTACTCAGTTAGAGGAAAGTCGTAGACAGACAGACTCGCTGAAGATTTTGTGGTAAGTAATATTTTTTTAAACATATTTTCGTTGCCTGATCTGTACCCCCTTCATCAGGTTTCCTTTATGACATTTTTGTCTCCCTTTTAATTTTGCCTTTTTTTTTAAATTTATGACCATCAGAGCCCTTCCCTAACATGTGGAATGAGCGTGAATAGATCCTATGAAGCTAAAGGAGAAAGCGCCTTGGATATGCTTTAAACTGAGACATGCTGTAATAAGTAGTAATATATTTGCTGTCTCCAGCCTGCCAGTGATTCCTCTTCCTTTTGAGGCAGCTACCTTGGAGCCAGTCACAGTAGTTAACTGTTGTTCAGTGTTGAATTGTCCCATGCCAGTGAAGCATTTCTTCTCCGATGACGTGACATTCATTCAAAGCTGTTCAAACAGGCCTTCAACTATTCAGGTCAATTTTTTTTTTCCCCCCCATTTCAGTCATTGTTGTGTAGGACTAGAGGTGAAAGAAGATCCTGAGGAATTTTACAAGAAATTTCTTCCTTCAGCTGTAGACAACCTGCTGTTTTTGGGAAGACGCTTGCAAGCACGATTTATCCGAGCAATCAAGGTATTTAAATTTTGTAGTTAAAAGAGCAGAGAGCCTCTGTAAACTTTCCAAGGTTACGTATTGTATAAGTAGGATAGTATTCTAGGGACACTGTATTATGAAAATTTATTTTCCAGAAATTACAGTAGTTTTTCTTATGCCTTGGAGCTTTGAAACTGAAATCTGTCATTGTGGAGCATTTGGTCCATTACATGCGCAAAGCTAGTTTCTTACCATAGGTTTGTTTGAAGAGTTTGGTAACTACTTTTTTGCAAGTTTTAAAGGCAGGGGAAGGAATGCAATTATAAGTAGCATAGAAGAATTAGAGCAGTATGATAGAAAAAAATGCCTTACAAAAGGCAGCATCCCGGTCACGGTAGTGTCTTTTTAACTGTGCATATAATTAGTTCAGTCTTTGTAACGGCTCTGTTCCCACTGCTTTATTCAGCTTTACAAAAAAGGTTTAGGAAGTTTTAAGACTTTAAATCAGATTTCTTGAAGTTTGTTTTGCCATACAATTTCTGCCACAAAATTGGCAAAAAAATTCCAAAAAGGCTCACTGCTTCTGAACCTTTGGGAACCCCAAAGACAGACTTTGTAGGATTTGTACATTTGAACACTCTCTCTTTGCAGAGATGAAGGGTTTTGCCCAGCTAGGTTCCCTCATGCTTTTGAAGCAGTCCGAGTTCCAGGATCAGAAGGAAAAAAAACAACAAAGGAAACCCATGAATAATTGAAATAACCAACCTCATGGATTCTGATAGTTTCTTTTAATATCCCCATTTCCCCTTAGTATCTCATTTCTTGGCTCACTGGCTTCTTGCACTTAGTCAAACTTTTCATACAGAGTATTGTGCTGAACACCACAAACACAATCAATTCTCAGAAAGTATCAGTAGAGTAACATATTTTCTGTTAGTTGACTACTTTAGAAGTGCATTTAGTGCTTAAGGAAGTTTCCTGAATGACATCCCAGGAGACTCGAGTCTTATCCGCAATATGTAATTTCCCCCACACTTTCTTATTATGTCTCAGCTTCCATGCTACTTGAGTCATGCTTGTGGGCAAAGATTTCTTTTGAATACAAATGTAGTCTGCATTATAATTAGTACTTTAGCTTTTAAACCTTGTGGTCTCAGAGGTGACTGGGCACCGAGACTTGGTGCTTGCTCAGTGGAACTTTGGAAATCCCACTCTACCAGTGGAGATTAGTAGTTTATTCTGCCCTCATTTGCTTTTTGCACAAAAAAACTTCTTTGAAGTCAAGGAAGCACTGAAATAGCTTTCAGAAACTAATGTTTTGCCAAAACGCAGAACAGATAATATTACAGCTTAACTTATTGCTGTGATTTTGTATCTCTTATTGTCAGTAAGAACCAAATACAAAGTTAAACCATGACTGATGGCTGGGATTTACAGCACAGATCTAGGCTTTCCAGAGTTTCACTTGTGGAGGCTCGATTAATGTGGGAGATATCAGGCCAAGTGCTTTGTAGCAACATTTGTCAGCAATGTAGTACTATCAAAAGCCCTTTTGCTGTCCACACACCAAGATTCTAGATTTCCAGTGGCCTGTGGCTCACACCTGGAACACAGACTCTAGACTGTGCGCATGTATGTGCATTCATGTATGAAGACCTGGATTCTTCCTGGTCATTTTTTCCAGACCAGTGTTATCACAGGCAAGCACATAGCATAGTCCGTTTGGCAAACTGATCAAACTTCAGCTTAATAGTGGTTTGGTGTTTGCTCCCAGGCCTCCAAGTAGGAGGTGCTTCTGAAGCCTCACCATGCCAGTTTTTAGGAACCTTTTCCATTTTAACTGTGTCCTTGGCCACTTTGTACCCTTTTTTTCCTGTGCTTTAATCTTAAATAACGTATTTCCCATTTTGTGTATTAAATCTATGATGTATTTGTATTGATGTATTTGTATGTAATATGATGTATTAAATAACGTAAATACGTTATTAAATAACGTAAATAACGTAATAAATAACTTAAATATTAACGTAATAAATAACGTAATCTTAAATAACGTAATCTTAAATAACGTATTTCCCATTTTGTGTATTAAATCTATGATGCATTTGTATTGATGTATTTGTATGTAATATGATGTATTTGTATTTGTCTTCTTAGCTCTCCTATGCTATCAAATATTTTTAAAGGAGTAAACAAGACTTCTCTCTCCCTGTTATGATGTTTTCAGGAATGGATGCTTTTTTTAGTATGTTTAGATTTTCTTGGTTGATCTCTGGCCTTGAAGGACTCACAAGTTATTTTTTTTGACTGGTTCCTGCAGTTTCACCAACCTCATTTGGAATTGGGTGGAGTTTTGGTCTCCAAATTGGGGAAGCATGCAAACCTTCCCACTACATCAAGCTGAAGTCCTCAGTGAAGATACGTACACATGCTTTTACCTACTTCTGTTTTGTTTAGGATGAAGAAAAACAAGAGTTTTTACACTGGTTCCAAACAGTAACTGATGCCATCTGCTGGCTGTTCGGTGGGCATATTCAACTAGCAGCATGCGGTAAGGGAAAAGTAAACCCCTAAAACACCTGAAAATTTATTTATGCCAACTACAGGTATCAAGAATCATTCTTAAGCTAATCTCCACCTAGTTTTCTAAATTGGAGTAGATCAATCTCTTGAAGTAGTCCACTCAACAGAAACAGCAATATTGAAAATGGAAAAGATCCACTAAAGGGAAATACTAAAGAGTTCCTCTTCTAGTCTTTCAGAAGCAAACATTAAAAGTGTTTTCCTGTGATTTTGCTTTGTAATTGTATACCTTAAAAAATTCAGATTTTTTTTTCCTAATAAGATACAGTTAATCTTTTTACCTGTGTGTGATTAACGTATGCAGAAATTTGACCGGAGTACATTGCTGGCTCTGAAAAGTGGATGGACTTGAAAACAGTTTTCTGAAGTTGTTGCCATGCCAGAAAATTTTACAAACATCTGACAAACTTCACTATACACTTCTGACCAAAATAAGCTTTCAATTAAACCAATGTTAATCACACTGATGTTAAAAATCAGAATTTGGTTTCGTTTCTAATATAGAGCAAAAACCTAAGGATCATAAAATATGTAACTAAAAACACACATGGCCACAAAAATTACTAAATGTGTAGACAGTGACACACTGGAATAAAAAAGTGGTGATTTAAGGACATCAGTGGACTTGCATTAAATAAACCAGGTGTAACAAACTGTCAAGGTTGAAGTCCTTATCTTTTCCGGATATTGTTGCACCAGTGATAATTCCACTGTTGTAATAAGAAACATAAAAGGTTTTAAAGCTTTTATTCCATTGCAACACCAGTGCCTGAGGGATATCCAAAGGCAGAAAAACAGGGCTCAACATGTTTTTTGGGTGTTGAAGTAGCTTACTTATTCCACTAAGTTTCAGTGTAAAAATTATAAAAGAGTTTGTTCCACAAACAGTATCTGGTTTTACTTGCTATGGCTTATGTTCCATAGTGAAGTTTATTTGGTTTACAGTATTTTGAAGTCTGGTTCTGATTGTGTGATTTCTTGTTTGCTTGTTTTTGGTTTTTTTGCAGTACTGCAGAGTGATCACTTCCTCCAGTTGTTAATAACAGACGATGTTGAAACGGCAGTTATAATGATGTCTGTTTTACACAATATTTTGAGGGTCAATAGGTTAGTTGCTTTTATATCATTGATTTTTCTGAATTTTAAATTTAAAACTCCGTTCAGTACTGCTTGGTGAAATAGAACTTTTTCATATACAAGAATTGTTATGTTTTGTTTTGTTGTTTTTTTTTCCCCTGGTCTTTGTTGTAGAAGTAGAAAAAATAGCTATTTTCTTTATCTTGCTGTTAAATTGAGGGAATGGGAATCAGTTGATTGAAACAGTAGTACTGCCTGGATCAGATTGCTGGTTCAGCTAGCTGGGTATGTTGACTTGCTGAATGCCTGACATATCTAAAAATAAGTCACTGTTAAAAAGCTCGTAGTTTGTAATTAACACTTCAATTCTGTTCCCTCTCCACCCCCCCCCCCCCTTTTTTTTTTTCTTCTTTTTAAAGTTCTGTCTTGCTTCAGGTTGATGAAGAGACCCTTTACTCTGTTCTGGATGAACTTGTTTATAAGCTTTCATCTACTACCAACCCTGTCATAGGAAACGCTGCTACAAAACTGCTATTGTTGGTGGCAAAATTTTGCAAGCAGCTTGTGAAGTTACTCACAGCTCGCTACAAAGGTTTGTAAACACACATGGGACCAATCACTCGGCCTCCTCTTGCATTCACTGTAAAAATACAAAGGTGGAGGTTTCCTGTCTTGGTTCAGTAACTATCCAAGACAGATGGAAACTGCAGTGCTGTGTTGTTGGGTTTTTTTCCTTCTCTTCTGTTCATTTTCATTGTAGTTTAAGGTGCCACGCCTCTGATAGATTTATTTTCTTCTGTATATTGAGGGCTCTGCGTGTGGCAACTTGTCTCTTAAAGCAGTTGTTTGTTGCTTCCAACCTGATGGGCTTTACTTCTTTCTGGGTCATGTTCTGCGTCTTTTTTCTTGTGCAGGCTGGATATTGAGAGATCTTAGTAGCAGGGTGCCAGGACTGCCGCAGTAAGAGCCGTGCGTCAGGCATCTGCCAGTGTGCTAAGGCTCACTAATCCAGAAGCATGAAAGTTTTACTTAGAGCCAACTTCTGACCCTGGCTGTTACAGGTCTGCTTATCTGATAGGTGCTGTTCTGTTACTGAGGCGCTGACTCTCTTTTGATATCCGAGGGATTGGAATGAACTCTTTCCAAGAATTCATGAAATGAGTTTATCGTTCTGTCTTGATGCCTTTAGATGAGGAGGCTGAGTATGCATATAATTTGCTCTGTGTTATTCATTATTTAATGAGATGTCCCATTTAATGTTTCTGTCTCTAGCCTAGCAGAGAGCTCCAGGAAACCCCTTTGTCCCCTGTTATGCCCATGGAGACTAAGAAAGAGGCTTTGATGTTTGCCAGGTCTTTTATATTCTGGATGTTGTTGATGGTCAAAACTACTTGTGAGCAGCTTCAGTCCTTTGGGGACAAGGGCAGTAAGAAGTGGGTATGTTAGGCAAAAAGGTCCAATTCCCTTTTTTTTATGCTTTTGCTGACTACTTACTAGGCAGTACCAGCCAGATAAATTTCTGGACCAGATGGGCAGCTTTGCCATCTCTTGCCTACAGAATTGAGAGAGGAGGGCTTCCTTTTGGTATGAAAATAACATGCTTAAGGCTGGTATCGCATTGCGGATTCTTGCGAAGCTGCTGTGATGGTCTGATCATCCCAGCTGTAGAATGCTGGTTTGTCTGAAGAGGTGCAAGTCTCCATCAAAGGATTATGCTTTATTTTGCTCTAGAATCACAATATGCCACAGTCATTTAGAGACTCTTCATCTCTCTTCTATACACATTTCCTGTTTCTACTAAGAAAAAAAAATACAACGTTTTTCCTCTATTTTTTTTTTAAGTTTGAGTCCTTACATTAGTTTTCACTCGAGCTTTGGAATCCTTTAGATAGTTTGAGGAACAGCAGCAGCAAAGAAAGCATTCCAGCATTTCCACCATCTGGCCATCTCATTGCAGTAACTTGGCTTCACAGTGGCTCATAACCGTTGCCAGTGTGAGGTACTTCAGTGTCAGCTTTCTGTCAGTAAAGGGAGCCTGCCGGAGGTGAGGACGTCACCTGAACCTCACATCTCCAAGACTAGCACATCAGGTTTCCAGGGGGGCCTGGTCTTTTTGTCTGCATGGGTTGACACATCTGAGAGGCGCACTCGAGGTACTCCCTGTCAATAGCTGAAAGGTGCATATGGCTGTGTAGTCTGTACAGAAACTGGGAAATGGTTGCGTCAGACCCACAGGACTTTTGTGAGGGAACTGCCTTGTGTAGCCAGACTACGTGCTGTTGCAGAGCTCAGGAAGCCTTAGGGCACCCACTGACTCCGTTTGGAGTCTCACCTGCCTCTCTCCTGAAGTATTTAACCGCCATCGGCTTTCCAAAATGGCGCATGTGTGATAGAACAGAGGTACCACTTCTGTTTGCGTGAAGGACTTTGTGCTCCATATCCAGATCCTGTAAGTACATGTGAGTGTTGGAGTTGCCTAGTGTATGAATATGCTTATGGACAATGATTTGAAGATGGAAATGTTACTTGAATCTGCAGTTCTTCAGGAGGCTATCCAAACATGTGTCTGCTTCCTGCCCTTCTTCCTTTTCCCTCCAACTCCCTGCAGAACTGTCAGGCTCTGGGATTTGTCTGATACAAAGCTAAAAGCATGTGTTGTGGTCTACTCGCGTCCTGTGCGCAGCACAGGGAGTGTATGTGTGTTGTGGGCGGAGCACAAGTGTGCTTTTTAGCTACTGCAAACCTAAAAAGCTATTTTGTCTCAGGGATTGGATGCGCATGTATTCATAGTTAGACTATGCTATACAGATAAGACATCAAAGAATTCCAGTTATAAATAAATGAATTTTATTATGAAAAATGTGAAAGCAGCGCTAATAAAACCTAGCACTTGCATGGTGCTTTACATCCTTTTAATATCTTACAATGACTTACTGATAAGACACTGAAAGTACATCGATAATTTTAACTGCCAGTTATGTAGACACAATAGATAGTGACTTGGACATACAAAATTACAATCACTGTACAATTCTTCTCTGTGATGGTTGGAGCACCAGATACTCATTGATAATATTCTATGTTGAAACTCAAAGATGACTGATGGTGTTCAGCTCTAGTGTTCCTTTGCACGTAGAATCAGATTTGATTTTTTGACTTGAAAATTGTGAGTTTGAAATCCTGAAAAGAAAAATTCACCTTAGCGGTATCACATGCTTCTTCTCTCTCTCTTAGGATTAAGAGGGCTTTTAAGTAAACAGTGGACTGGCAAAGGATTTGACAGGGATCTCAGTCAACTGTTGGACCTGCTGTACTTGGAACAATCCAATGGAAAAGGAGAAATGCAGGTGCTGAAGTTTAATGAGGCTTTTGTATGAGAAATCCTGGTTACATATGATTTATATATGTTTAGAATGGATTTATCACTTTGGTGATGCTTTTCAAAGCCTGTGTTATTTTTTCACGATATTAATGGATTTTTAAATTTCCTATTTATTAATTTTTTTTTCTCTCCATTATTTTTTAAGACATCAAGAAATTATCCAGTGATTAAGGTGTGAAACTGTGACTCAAGAGTTTGACTTTCTGTTGCAGATTCACCATAGAATTCTATACAACCGAAGGGGGGGAAAAATAATTTTGTTTTGCTAACTACAAAACAAAAATAACTGTATCTGCTTTTCTCACATCAGTGTTACAAATTTAGATGTCTGAATTCTAGGCAGCATTCATATAGAATTAAGTCATCTAGAGGGAATGTTCAATAAAAACACTTTCTGGGCTGTGTTCCCAATAAAAGAGGCAATGTGTGTTTTATGAGCTTCTTACCAAAATTTTACATGCAGGTTTCTCAGAGACAGTACTTTAAAGGAAATCAGAGTTATGTTTGTAGAGACCTGCTTTCATCTTCAACAGAGCAGGGTGCTTTGTGGGTTTTTTATTGTTTTGGTTTTTTTTTTTTTAAATTCCATTTAAGAGTAGAATTGATTTTTTTTTTTTTGAATGTTCGCATTTCAGTGACTTCTGATCGTACTGCAAATGTAACATTTTTCCTGCTGCTATTTCTCCAAACTTGTCTTTCTGTCCTCTCTAGTGTGTAGGTATTTTGATTGAATCACCATTTGAAATATCAAGTGCTTTAGGTGTTTTAAATACAAATTTCTAACATTGATTAAGGCAGCTAATATATATATATTTGTGCTGTAGATTCATTTGTTTACCACAGAGAGCATCAATCCAGATGATTAGATCAATTGCCTTTGGAGCAAGTACAGGTGTCATGATAATAACTGTCTTCTAGGACCTTAAATTCCCCAAGCTGTTACAAATACTGAATTTTCATCTGAAAACTGACGTTTTTTCGCCAAATGTGGAGATTGTTCCAAATATGCAAGCAGTAATAAAGTGGTTTTATATGCAGGGAAAATATTCTACCAACTGCTTTATTAATTTCAGAGGCAGCATCAAGCAGCTTGTATAATCCAGGCTACGTGGAGGGGATTTCAGACAAGGAAAAGGCTGAAAAAACTACCCCAAGCAGTGACCACTTTACAGAGAAGCTTCAGGTAAACAGTATGGATTTGTAAAAAGCACTAACGAGAAAAATCTAGTAGGAAGGTTTGGTTTGGTTTGGTTTTTCTCAGGTCACAGAGACACAGGAAAAATTTAGGTCATCTAATCCAGTCTCCTGCTTGAAGTAGGGCCAGCCTCAAAATGGAATCCGGCTGCTCGGGGCTGTATCCAGTTCTGGAGGTCTCCAAGGATGGAGATCCCACCATCTCACTTGGTCCCTGTCCTGGTGCTGCTTGCCTTGCCTTGCGAAGAGTTCTTCCATTGCAGCCAGTGGGAATTCCCTTGTTGCAGCTCTTTACCACTGCCTCTTGTCCTTTTTCTGTGGATCTCTAAGACTGTGGCTCTGTCTTCCCTTCCTTTAGGCAGCGGAAAACAGAAATTAGGTTTCCCTTCCTCTAGCCCGAACAAGCGCACCTCTTCACCTGTCGTTGTATATCATACATTCCATAGCCCTAATTGTCCCTGTCTGAACAGTCTCTGTCCCTTCAGTTTGTCAATATCTGTCTCCTACTGGGGGGCCCAGTAGAGTGTGGGCGATATTCCAGGTGTGTCCTCAAGAGTGCCGAGTAAAGCAAAATAATAATCTTCCTTGATCTGCTGCCTCTGCTTTTGCTAGTGCAGCCCACAACGCAACTAGACTTTGTTACTGCAAAGGCACGCTACTGGCTTATGCTTGAAGTTGTCACCCACCAGGAGCCCCAGGTCCTTTTCATTGGAGCTGCTGTCCAGGTAGTCAGTGCCCAACCTGCCCTGGTTCATGAGGTCATTTTGTACCAGGTGTAGAACTTCCCATTTAAACTTCATGTGGTTTCTGTGGACCCATTTTCTGTGTTTGTGGAGGTTCCACTCAGTGTCAGCCCTGCCCTGCATGGGGGACTGTGATGACAGCCTTGATAAGGAGAACGACATCCACTGCTCTCCCCTCATCCACAGAGCCAGTCATCTCATCACAGAAGGCAATCAGGCTGGTCAAACGTGATTTGCCTGTGATAAATCTATGCTGGCTATTCCCATTCGTTTCCTGTCCTCCTGGAAATAGCTTCCCTGAGGATTTGTTCCCATGTCCTAGGGCATAAGTTTGGGCTGACCAAGAGTTCATTCTTCTTAAAGATGCCTTTTTCCAGTCAGCTGTTATTTCTGAAAAATAAAGGTAATGTAATGCCAATATGAGCTGTTTTGCTACAGATTCTTTCAGCAGAAACATCCAAACAATGTGCTTTTCCAGCAGTACCAAACTGCTGCTTCTGCTGCCAAAAGCTCCAACTGTCCCCTTCCCAGCTGCCAAACTTCTCCATGAAAAAACTTACTTCTATGATGCTTTTATATGTTTTCAGTGTAAAAATGTATAGCATATGGAAAAAAAGTACGCCACACTGTATCATGGGATTGCACTAAATAGCACTAGAAGATGATGTACTGCTGGTGGTAGAACAGTTAAGTGGTTCACAGTTAACTTGCCAGAAAATTCCACCATAAATTGAATGTGGAGCTGTCCTGGAGTTTCCAGTCTGCCATGCCATAGTGCTACAGAAACCAAGGACCATAGTGCTTGCTCAGTATAGTGCTTGCGAGACCTTGTTCTTCATTAATATTTAAAATCTTTGACCCTCAGAAGTGGAGTCACTTCAATGACCTAGAAATAGTGTCCTCTGACTTGGAGCACCACAGAAGAATGAAGCTATGTAAATAATGCTTGTCTTCCTTGAAGAAGGATTTCAGCAGTAATGTTAGCACATGTTAGGCTAACTCTTTTGAGAAATTTAGTCTGAATTTAACATCAGTTAAGGGATCTAAATCAAGTTCAGGCTCCACAGCAGGTTTTTTTCAACCTTTTTTTGCACACGTTGAGCACAATGGTGTCAAAACTAGGTCTTAGAAATCAATTAGTGAAATCACATTGCATTATGATCAAGGTGTTAGAAAGCAGACAGTTACGATTTGTCATCTAGACTGGCATTAAGAAGATATTGGACTATCTAGGGTGTAATCCTTAAATTCTGGAAGATTTGCAGGGGGAAGCGGTGTGTCTATTGAGGGCCAACTTGGCTGAAACACCAAGAATGACATCCATGTCACTCCTTTTTACTCCACCATACTCTTTGAGCCAATATTCCTGCCTTCATCAGGCACCTTGCAAGCCTGCAAGACAAAATCATAGCCCAGAAAACTTGGACGATGGGCTAAGACATAACATGGTAAAGCAGAAGGGAAAGGGTGGCAAGGCTCTCAGCAATCAACAAGCTACTTGACTTTCTTGTGTCATATTTTCAGTATTGTGTTAGTGTGCGCCTCTTGAGTAGTTCTTGAGTCATTTAAATGGACTTTTGAATGTGTTTAATCTTGAGAGGAATGGAAATGTATTAATATTCTTACAGTTGTGTGTTCATGGCTCAGTCAGTCCTAATGTACTGAGTACAGTATAGTAACTGTACAGCTCCAGTGTTGGTTTTTTTCTGCGTAGGTCGAACTGCAGTTAGTGTTGTGCTGAAAAATAGTGTTTGGAATACTGCGAGCATGACTGTAGAAAAACTTTCAAGAGGACTCTTGAATTTTGAACAGTCAGGGTTTGGTTATATTCACAGATTTATTTTAGAACAAGTGTGGTTAAATACTGCTGGGGTTGAAACTCCAAACTTGGCTCACCTGCAGCTGCAGTGGAAGATCTTAAACTTTGCAACTTATAAACTCCTGAAACTCTGTGGTTTCAGAAATGTCTCCTCAGTGAATATTAAAGCCTGTAATCTCTCCTTGAAGTTAGTTCACTGTTACATAGCTAATTGTAGAACTGTTAAAATGGCAATAATTTGTATTAATCATGTGTCAAAACCCAAATGGTTATATATATACATAAAGAGATGATCAGAGGGAGGCTGATCTGTGCCATGAACTGCTGAAGGAAGCTTGGCTCTTACTCTGTGTGATTTTGCATCTGTTCAGAGGCATTTCCCTGTCACAGTGTGGTCTTGTGCAAGAAAATATGTCTTGTCATTAGGAGGAACAGAGAATGAAGAAGAACACGTGTTTTGCAGACTACGTGGGAAAGAATCGGTATCAAAGAAACATTTAAATACCTGACAGGCACTATTAGTAGTTTCACAGATGCACATCTGAGAAGTTCATGAAACATTCTTGTAGTTTTCCACCTAGTGGAGCTGATAAACTTTTCTAGGGAAAATTATTAATAGTTTTATCAAGAAAATGTCATCAGAAGTCCTGTTTGATCCTGTGACATCATTCTGCTTAGAAGTATAATGTGTGCCTGCCTGGATTAAAAATGCAAAGATTTACAGCTCTAATACGCAGAAATGTGTGGGCTGAAAACCTCTAGTTTCCTTGAGACTGTTGTGATGTAATCACGTATATCATGATCTGTCTCTGTAGGTAGATGTGTGGGCACGCTTCAAGTCTGCATTACTGTCATGAAAGGATTATGGCCTCTCAGATCGTGGTGGAGGCTGTTTTATCAGTTAGGGCCAGATCTTTAAATCCAGAGCATCTCTTTTACACAATAGCTTCCATCCCATCTTTCCCAGCCAGTTACGGAGACTGAGGAGAAAGTATGGTTGGTGCAAAAATTACAACTCGGTTTATAGTAGCGATGGGAAACACGCAAATACCTTTAGACTCACAGTACTATTGAGTTATGTGACATGCAGCAATACCAAAATTGCTGGACTTTACTTCTAGTCTACGGCTTTTTTTTCCCGTTTCTGGCACCCCTTATGCCTGTGCTCTGTCCATTTGTTCTCTTTCCTAGCGCTTAAGGTGCTCCTTTCATTGTCCCTGGAAAAATGCTAGAGGAGAGCAGAACTGAGGGCAGTGGGCCCAGTGGGGGTACTCGGGTCCTAAGTGGGCAAGTGATTTTGCTGCAATAGGAGAAGAGAAGGAGTCACATCATTACCTCATTGTGGGTTAAACTTGTAAAGTCTCGAGCATTAAGCTGCTAATGAGGTCAGGTCCTCACAGCTCCTCATGCTTCACTGAATGTCGGAGTGGTCTCAATAATTATTAGTATCAATACATCAGTATATTTAGTATTAATATATTAGTCTCTATGTTAATATGTTAGCATATATATAATTGATATACATGCTATTATTAGCTTAAACACTCCAGGGCCAGTTACAGAGTTTTCAGTTGTCTTATCTGTGAAACATCTGCTGGGGCTTTTCCAACGCCAAGCACAGTGGGGCAACATCCTAATATCAAATTACAACAACTAGTGCAGATCAGGAAGAATTTGCAAGAAAATTCTTACCTAGCATTCTGTTAACAAAGTTGATGCAGAAAATGTGTCAGTCTCTATTTCCTGGAGAAAAAAAATCCCTCCAAATTTAAGAAGTGAGCCTTAACAGCCAACATTCTGACCTACTCTTGCAGTCGGTACAAAAATAATAGTATGTATTATGTAAAGCAGGTGCCATGCATGCTGATGGATGCGCTGGAAAAGGTGCGTACTGGAGCAGATGGCTAATGTCGCTTTACTGCTTCCTCAGATGATGGAGTCAAAATTGTTGGTCTAGTTCATGCTGACTGGGAATGTCCCACATGGAGCATCGTTCCCTTCAGGGCCCTTAGAACTTTATCCTAAGTAAAAATACATCCTTTGATTTGATACCAGATTGAGTGACTGGCTCAGAATGTTTTGTGGCTATAGATAGTGTGGTAGTTTGTTCGCTTGCAGGTGATTTCTTGTTGCTTGGTGTGGTCCTGCAGCCAACAGCTGGGATGGCAGATTATTTTGTGGATTTCCTCCCTCGATGCTGGACCATTTAACACAAAGAGAAAGAGATGCTTTTAAGAAACGTACAACTTAAGCTAATTGTTAATGTGTTTGTGTATTGCAGAGCTAAACGGGAACAGGAGCTGCAGCATTTAAAAAAACAGAAGGAAGATGAGGCTCTAAAACTGCAAATGCAACTTCAGAGACAGAGGGCCATGAGACTCTTCCATGAACGACAGCTGGCCTTACTGGAAATAATCCATGCCAGTATGATTTATATTAAACTATATCAGAAGATTAAACTGTCTGGGTCTCCTTAAGAACAGTTTCCCAAATGTATTTCCTAATCTTGCATGTCTGTTTGCACTGTAGTCTTACTGTCCCTTCTCCTTACCCAATTATCTGACAGAGAACATGCTAATTCTACAAGGGCTCAGTAACTACTGATCAAGATCTGCTGCCTTCAAATGGTGCAGGAGAAAGGGAGACCCAGTTTTCTCATGTTACAAAGCTCCATTGCAGCTACACGTCTCTGAGACATGCCCCATAGCTAGCAGACCTTGGATGAAGAGGGGTTTTTAACTGATAGCACCCAAACTTTTTTTGGCACTATCTAGTTTGAGGATTAAAAATGCAAATTGTTAAGAGATCCCAACCCACAGACTTATTACTGGATTTTTGTTACATTTGTAGGTCAGGTAAATAAGTACATGGAGGAAATGGAGGGGAAATCAGCATTAACTATCCAGAGGTTCTGGCGAGGGTATAGAGCAAGAAGAAATTTTCATCAACAGAGACAATCTCTTAAGGAGTATAAAGCAGCTGTCATCATTCAGAGAGCAGTAAGTATATATATTTTGTTCTAGCATTAGATAGGACTGAGTAGATTATTGCAATGCCTCAAGAAGCTCTGTTGATTCTCTTACTGTCGAGGTAGCCATAATTTATTAAAAAATTATTCAGAGGATGGTAGTCTAGAGCCACAGGTTGCTTAGACGGGTTAAACCTTGCATACACAGTCTTGTAACTAAAATACAAGAGCTTCCACTTTGAAACCTAAGGTTGGGATTTCACCACACTACAGATGGGTCACTAATTTATTATGAGTGTTTTTACTTACTATTTAGTATTCATGCTGACCGTTGTTTGTTGTCTTTTTAGCATCAAATCTAAATTTATGCTTTAACAGATGCAGTACTGAAACGTTTTTCTTTCACTGATTGATTACAAACAAAGTGAGAAGACAAACTTCCTGTCTGTGATTGTCATATTCTCATATGTTCTTTACAAAGGCTTGTAAATTCTTGGAAAAAAGAAGGAGGAGGAGACCTCTCTCTCCTTGGAAAGATCCCAAGGGACTGACTGATGAGCAGAGACTGGCTTTGCAGCAGAAGGTGGATGACTACATCAAATTGCATCCGGTCTGTTTCTTAGTCATTTCATAATTCTCATTAATGATGCAACAGAAAATACTGTTGGGATGAAATATATTCAGCTTCATAAATTCTGATCAAGATAATGCATGTGAGGTATGCATATATTAACCCTGCTTGTTTGAGAGCAAGGTACTAGGATATTGGGGATTTTAACCATTAATCTAATAAAAAGGATCAAAGCAAACTGTAATTGGAAAATTTATATACTCGATGATGGATAGTTTTGGAGAGAGTTGCAGAGGAAGCAAAATTATTCAGTTAACAATTAAGAACAGCATTTGCATTTCTTGTTTAGACATTATTCTGCCTCCAAAAGATTTAAAATAACCAGCTCCTAATGGTAATAAACTGTTATTTTCCTCCAGGCTTCCCAAATGTCAGAAGAAATGAGTAAAGAATTACATATGCAGGCTCAGGAAAAGCTGGCACAGTTCCTGTTGAGGAGCAGACTGGATCAGAGAGCAGCGCAGCGGAGAGAGACATTACTGGCTCAGGTCAACACCGATGTGGAGCTGCTAATGAGTATGTGACTGCTCCGGTCATAGTTTTGATTACCATTTGGATTAAACTAATTTAGAGAGAAAATTAAAGGGAACAGTGGTAAAGCCTCATTTCAAAACTGAAATAGCTTTCTTCCTTTGCCATATGCCTTATCTTGAGATTCGGGCTTTGTTAGAGATCATCCAGGTGTTGCTAGAGGTTAAGTAGATACACCTGCGATTCAGTGAGCAGCTTATTCTGCTATAAGTCTCTCTCTATGTTCGCAAGAAAAGCAATGGCCCTGTAAAAGGCATTAAAATTTCTAAGAAGGGGATCTCACACGACCTCTTCCTCTACATTTCTTTTGCTTTGGTCTGTTTTCTTGTGTTGTAAGTCAGCTGCTGGTTGAAGCGCTCTCACCTCTTCCAGATAAAGAGGGAAGTCTTTGAGCTATGAATTCCGAGTCATGTTTTCAGTTTCTCTGGCCTGGCTTTATTTGAAACGGAATTCACTATTGTGCTATCTTAATTCCAGACAAGTAGCCTGGAGTGAAAGAGCGAGAATAGCAGACTGCAGCCACCAGAGAGCACCCAAGCCAGGACAAAATTCAGCAAGTTACTGAATTCCATTACTTAGTCTGTCACGTGCTGTGTCACTGCAGCTCATCGCTCCCTGACCAGGCAAATCAGCAGCACACTCTTACACTGCGCCGGGTCCCCCAGGCAGGGAATACGCAGTGCCGCTGCGCCAGAGCGCTGGAAACACTACGCTGATGTCACCCTGCGCCGGGAGCGCTGATCCAGCAGTGGCGACCAGGAGATCCTCTTTCTGTTAGGTCGTAGTTTCACAAGAAGTCCTTTTGGTGGATGCCACTACTGCACCTGCATGAAGTAGTCCTGCTTTCCCCCCTTCTTCTCCCTCCCCCATTATGTATTTATTTTTTCAGATTAGCCTTAATTTGGATCGCTTCTCCAATCAGGTTTATCATGCAGCCGTAAAATTGTAATGCTAGCATA